CTTTCTTATAAGTCTCGCATTCTCCCGCCAGTAAAATATTCAGGATTGATTGATTCGTTTTCTACGACTTATCAAGTTTATTTAAAGCTAGAAAATATAAATTGTAAAGACTTAGAATTTGGGGGAGGGTAGAGATTTAGCGATACAAATCTTACTAATTAACCCACAGCTTTGGAATGAGAGGTGCATTCATACCTTTCCCAAGGATATTTGTGCGCAAATGGAATTGGAATTCGGCTCTCCGATTATCAATTTCGAGCTATTATCCATTACACCACCCGCTTACTTCATCTGGAAGTCAGAAGCGGTCACCCATCTAGGTACAGACCAGGCTCGACGTTGCTTAACTTAACTATTACACCACCCGCTTAATGCATCTGGTATTCGCAAGAGGTCACCCATATAGGTACAGACTAGACTCGACGTTGCTTAACTCTAATGATCATACGGACATCGTTGTTTCAAACCTGATACGACTGTAAGTCCTTCAAGATTGAAATCTGATGTGGTTGTCCATGCTTTTAAGCGACAAGGCAAGTTAAAATGTTACCCTGTTTAACAAATGAACCCTGACAGCTGCTTTCTATGCTTTATATTGGAGGGCAGAATCGCGAGATACATCGTGATGAGGTCACAAATATGCAAGAGATGAATATTTAAAACATAGTTTGCACTACGAACATCTGCAGTTAAATTGAAACTTTTAAGCTAATTCTGTGATATACTTAAATTTAGCCTCGTATACATTTCTTACTTATTTTCCGGGTTTTTTTTTTTTTGTTAAAAAATCTCGGTTTCTCGTTCCCCTTGGTAACGGGCTTCTATGTCACATCCGCCATCTTGAAGTAATCTGTAAATGACACTTCCTACCTCCGCAACGTTTTCGAATAGCAGAATCCTCTAAGACGCTGTTTGCATTCATAGGTCAAATAAACACGTTGCGCCCGACAGTAACCGAATCGGCAAAATGACGTTTACATTTCTTGTAATAACAGGAAACGTATTGATCAGGGCTACTGGCTTACAGTTGCAAAACGATGGAGTCCAGATACGCAATCACTTTGTAATCTCTGACGGCAGGAGGACAAAGCTGTCATAACACTCACCAAAAGAAATATGAGATCATGAGGATAGCAACTAAATATGGGGCGGCCAATTCCAAAATTCTTTAAGATAAGAAAAGAAAAGAAAAAAATAGTATTTTTTTTTTTAAATAGAGAAAAAGAAAACATGGCTGATACGGTATGTAGTGTTGAATAACAAACTCAGATAACACAAAATAATTATTTGTCTGACCTAAAATTTAAAAAGAATGAAAAGAACAGGGATAAATGTCAATATTTTAACTCAACAACTTGTATTTTGAATTGTTCTCGAAATTTAAAACAAACAAAAAGAAACAAAAAAAAACAAAAACAAAAAAAAAAACAAAAAAAAACAGAAATATGTTAATATCGAAGGTAGTCCTGAGTATGACGATAAGCAATATCCGGCAGCAAGGCTTTTGATTGAAAGATTGGAGGTTTTGAGGAGCGTGGAATCACCTCTTATTTGATGTTGTTCCTAGGTTCAACCTGACTCGAAGTGGTAGCACCTGTTAGGGACCCAGCTATGGAAAAAATAGTGTCTTGATTTTTGTTTGATGATTCGCTAAGAAATTATAAACAGACTTTATGGCAAAAATACCAGCAATATGTTTATAAGAACAATGACCAGTAGTAATAAGTTCTTACATCAAAATGACAATCAATACAGCACTAAAGTATAAAAATACATTTTTATCATAAAATTACCAGCAATACACTTTATCCTCTACAAACCATATATCTAAAAAAAACAAACATACGTTTACCCTGAAAATATAACATTAGTTAAAAGCATAAAATTACATGCAAAGTAATTAGATTTCGGTATTAAATAACCCATAGTTGTGTTGATATACAACTTAACAAAACAACCAAAAATAACCAACCAATATCGAAGGAAATATGACAGGCCCGTTCACATAATTAAGAATTTCTTAATCACTTTTTTATTTACTAATATTCGTCCTATGTAAGGCCCAAGAACCACCCAATATAGAGCTTTAATTAATGAACTTATTTTATGAGTGTAAGGAGAGGGGATAAGAAATGCCATTTACGAGGATATGCAGTACACATAACGGCTGACCTGAGACAAGAAGAGGTTAAGATTTTCAACTGGGAAAGCCTCCTACCCGGGCGTCTGTTCCACAAAATAGCGGTTTTTGTGAATGAGCTGTCCAAGTAGAACTTCCTCTTTCCTAATGGAATACAAGGGGAATAGGGATTCGTCCCAGTATATGTAGCCTGTCCCGATGCCAGGTAAGTGATGTTGATTAATACAATAGCTATAAGGAATCTAATTTAATTGATGAGTTTTAGCTGTCGTTAACTTTTTAAAATATACTATATGTGGAGCTAATAAAATGTAACGGTTCTGTTGTTCATTTGAGAGATGAAGTCTGATTCACTCTGTATAATGCCCAGGGGTAACTTGAGGTAGAGGGTTATGTTAAGGGCGAGAAGAGGAAGATAATGGTTAACCGTAGACTTGAAGGTGTTAAGACTGTAGTGATCGGGGAAATATCCTCTTAGGAGTCGGTTTTACGGAGTAGTGAGTTGTCCGCGGGGAGAAGCTGTTCGAGTGGAAATTACTTCTCACCGATGTAATACGGAATGAATGTGGGTGGTTCACTACTATGTAAGTGTCATGGGGAGTCCTACTCGTGAAGGTTAAACCTGGCGGAACCAAGGAATGTAGTTCGTCCGAGCACTTTCCATGGAAATAGCGAGAGAGCAGTGAGAGACTCGCCACATCTCGCCTGTGAGATAGACGGTGGAGGATAGTTAATAATTCTTCTCAAATAAGGACTCAGAGACTTCTTTTTTTTGTTTGAAAATGTGGACTGGGTAGTTCTCGCTCAAATATGCCAACAGTACTCGATTTGGGGCTTGATCTGGCTCTTATAAAAACAGAGAATAGCATGTGGTGTCAAGTACTTACTGGAGCGGTACGGGGAGAATCATTTTACCTACATCTTTAGTGATGGAGTTTTACTTGCGGTCGGGTGTGAGGCCCAATATTCTCTCAAGTCACGGAGCTTCTTAGAGGGGACACTCGTGAATGGTGATAGTTTGGTGTCCGATCGGCGGTGATGGAATGTAACCAGTTGATCTTTAACGTAAGATTTTGAAGGATTTTAGTAGGTGGATCTAAGAAGAGCCCAAATGTACGAATGAGAAACTGCTGATGTCTTCAGTCAGCACACATGTTGCGGAAAACATTTTTAAATAAATAGAAAGAAAAGAAAACAGAACTGATATGACATGCAAACTTAAATAACAAACTCAAATAACGCCAAATAATTAGTAGTGTGACCCAACATTAAAAAAGTGGGAAAAATCAATATAGAAAACAAAAAGAAAAGCAAAGTAGTTCTCACAGTTGCAAGGTTTTAAAATATTTTTTCAGCAATCATTACAGGGTCAACAGCGAATATCAGACACATGGCCAGTGGATTGCATTATTCAGTTGCAAAGCTGAACGAGAAACGAATATGTCACTTCTTTCGTCACATTACTCGGTAAGTGATAGTGTATTAACGTTTTAAAAATTTACTAACCTCATTCTTGATCAGTGAGATTGGAATATTATGCCGGTCGAGTTTCATCTTTATAATCCAAAATAATTCCAATTGTTTTGCAGTGATATGTTAATCACTTATGTGCGATACACGTTTAGGCACATAAGTGATATATAATCTTTCGATACATGATTAACGAGGTAGATTTTTTTCCCGCAGTAATTTGTCATTTCTTTCTGCGGTAGACCAGTCGCTACAGAATCCGGGGGGAGAAGAAGAGGATTCATAACTTTCGCAAGGGTATTATCCGTAAGTGAATGTAATGGATTCGAGTGGAATTCGAACTCGGCTCTCCGATTCCTCAATCCGAGCCGCTGTCCATACTCCATCGTGGCTCCCATATGCAGATGATATGTAGATTAAGTAATTAACATATCCGGAATACACAGACTATATAATGATTCCGATCGTGCATTGAGTACTTACACGAAGAACTTCACAATCGTTTTCTTTATTTATTCACAAGTAAAGAACTAATCAGCTACCTAAACTATCAACAACTGAAATATCGAAGAAGCTAAACATTATATTTTTTTCCAATGGAAAATAAGAGTAATCCACGTCCAGAAAGCATTATATGATTACAGGGCACATTTAGATTTAGAACAAAGTAACAATGCAAACCTTGATATTTACATGCAAAAGGCCCGTCGATGGTAATCAATAAAAATAAAATATTCAACTTGAAATGAAAATGTGTAACTAGAACATGTTGACGTTCTATTACTACTTCAAACAAAAGGGTATAAAGAAAATCACCATTAATACTAGAAAGAGCGACGACAGTTAGTGGACTTTAGGAACCTATTTCCCTAAAACATTGTTTTAATAGAAAACCTTTTTAAATTAAAATCGATATGGTTGCTCGATCAATGAATGCCCACTTTCCTTATGCGGAAAAATGCTTCCTCATAAGCCAGAATACCATGCCATTTGTTTATATTTTGTCCCATTAAAGAATTGAAGAAAAAAGCCAAAAGCACACTTCAAATTATATATGTATTTCCCTCGTTCTTTTAGTAATGCTTGTCATACAATTGGTACTTACTTTCTAATTGATTTACTTTAAGGGCATACCATGTTGAAACACTGGTTCCCGTACGATCATCGAATTTCAGAAACGTCGAGCCTGTTCGGGACCTAAATGGTTGACTACTTGGGAATAGTAGGTTCTGTAAGGTTGGATGTGAGGGTCGTGAAAATGATTCCGTTCTCTAATACTAAGCGTAGAAGGCAGCTGTTTGGGTTCATTTGTTAAACACGATAACATTTTAACTTTGCCCCATCGCTTATAAACATGCTCAGCCACATCAGATTTCAAACTTGAAGGACTTACAGTCACATCAGGTTGAAACAGCGGTGTCCGTACGATCATCGAAGTTAAGCAACGCCGGGCCTGTTCTGCACCTAGATGTGTGACCGCTTGTGAATACCAGGTGTAGTAAGTTTGGATATGTGGGTAGTGTAATGGATATCTTGGAATTTATAATCAGAGCGCCGAATTCCAATTTCATTTGGGTTCGTTATACTCACACACGAATATCCTTGGTAAAGGTATGAATGTACATCTTCCCCCCCAATCTGTGGTTTAATCAGTAAGACTTGTATCACTAAATCATCATCACCGCCCCACTCCACCAATTCTTACAATGTAATTTTTTTTTTTTTGCTAGCTTACAGAATTGCTAACCGAAGATCAGAGTTCGAAATTCAATCGGGTTCATTAGATTTACTTTTGGGAAATATATGACTCTACTAATTCTCCTTCCAGCTATGGCTTAATTAATAAGTCTCGTATAAATAACTCAGTATTATCTTTAAATAAAATAATCTTACAATCTAAAAATATTTTTCTGCAAAAATTTGATAAGCCGTAAAAAAAACAATTAATTTCTACCTAATTTAAATGATTTTCACTATTTTCATTATTCGGACTATTGTCCTCATCTTTGTTGCCATATTTATCACAACGTGTCGGCCGTTGTACGCTCCGGCCTTCATCAGGTGTTTAGAATGTCGAACTGAACACTTTATTTCGCTCGATGGGGTAGACTGTTCTAGTTCCACGTGCCATGTCTAATGAATGTCAGTTATCAGTTATCTCTGTTAATTCCCCTCTCCAAGTTCTCCACCGCCTTCGTCAGGACATTCTTTGTGTCCTGTCGCTGGATCTAACTAAGGCCTTTATCCATTGTGCCATGTGTCCTTGAGGATTCAGTTCGACATTTCTATCACCTGAAGAAGGCCAGAGCGTACAATGGCCGAAACGTTGTGATAAATATGGCAACAAAGATGAGAAAAATAGTCCGAATAATGTAAATAGTGTACATAATACTTCATCTCAGAAATATAGACAGATATTAAATGATTTTATCGTAAAATTATTTGCAATGTATTTTATGGTAATTTTCATATTATATATACAATAGCCATGTTCAGTCAGCAACGCTTCTCTTACATCTAATAATCTTTTCCGTGTTGATTTTCAATGCATTTCTACTGTAAAATCATTTGCAATATATTTCTATTGTAAAATTATTTGCAATTTATTTCTATAGTAATGTTTATATTATAAATATAATAGTTGTATTAATTCAGTACGGTTTTTCTTACCCCTTATAGTCATCCACGTTTTGATTTCTATTTCATTTCAATCGTAAAACGATTTGCAACATATTTCTTTTGCAAATTTATTTTAAATGTAGTCCTATAGTAATACTTATATTATACATATAGTAGCATTATTTAGTCAGTATATTTTGTCTTACAACAGATACTCATTTTTCTTGATTTTCATAGTATTTCTGTGATGAAATAAATTGTAATGTATTTCTTTTGTAAAATTATTTGCAATCCATTTCTGTAGTAATTTTTATATTCTACATATATTAGATTTAATAATGGTCTTACTACCAATAATCACTTACTGAATTTAAATGCATTTCTTTCGTATAATCATTTACAATATATTTATTTAAAAATCATTTGCAATTTATTTCTATTACATTTCTTTTAGCTATTTTCATTTTTGTACAAGCCAACACTTCACATTCTGAATTCCTGAAATAAGTTTGCCTGGCTACAACTAAAATCAGATAGTGGAATCTTTTATATTAAGTTTCAAATATATTTTTAGGTTTCTCTTCATTGCTATATTAGGAATAATATTTGAATTTGTTATCTCATTCTAAACTCTCTCAAGAACCAAATTAATACATTATAAAAAGTAGATTGTTCTAGTTTCACGTGCCATGCCTCTCCCGGGTGTCTCACTTATCTTACTTTAACTCAACACTCAAAGTTTTTGTTCACCCCTGCTGTCGCCATGTACTGAACTCACAAAAAACTTGGAGAGTTGAGTTAAAGGGTGATAACTGCGGCATCCGTAAGAGGCATGACACGTGGAACTAGAACAATTTACCGCATTCGACGAAATATTGGGTTCAGTTCGAAATTCTAATCGCCCGAAGAAAGCCAGAGCGTATAACCGCCGAAACGTCGTGTATATGGTAACAAAGATGAGGACAATAGTCCAAACACTGTAAATAATATAAATAATTACATTACCTCACCTCAGAAATACAGACAGATAAAAAGTAATTTTCTTATTATACATAGAACGATTAGATTGTTTCAGTATTGCCTTTCATTAATTCCTTACCAGTCACAAGCACTTTCTACACAATGCCTTCTAGAGTAAAACCAGTTGTAAGTTATTTTTATCGTATTTTTTTAAAATGTTATCTTAATTATCTTTATTCAATTATTATTAGTTGTCTTACTGTTGGTAATAATTTTTCTGCTAATTTTCAATAGATTTCTATCATCAAGTGGTTTAAAATGCAGAGAGTGGTCCGAAAGTCTTGTCACCCGAACCCTCTCTTCCAAAATGAAGGAGTTTGTGTCAGCTATCTAAAATAGAAAATTATATTACAAATATATAGCGATGACAAAACTTTCGGTCCACGTTGCATATCTGTCAGTAAAAAAAAAATTTGAAATCATTAAATCTTATTTTAGCATTTTAAAATAATTCCTTCTTGATTACCAATGGATTTTTTAATAATATTGTCAGGGTTTTTTTCTCTTAAAGTCGACGGTGTTTGTCTCATCTGATAATTTTCGATGGCTGACTGGCTTGTCGTTGTTCATGCCTTCTTTTTGTGTTCTCTTTTCTTCTTCTAGCAACGAGAAAAAATAGCATATTGAATAATTAATGAATAACCAGCAAAATTTAGTTAGAAAACAAGAAAAATCTACAGAAATGTTATGTTATACCAATCTTCCGATATAGCAGTTAATTCTGGACAATCTACTCACAGATCAAGAGAAGACTAGCGGCAACAGAAATAATTTAATAGTCGCAAGAAAGACAACTCTGAATTGCTCAAATTTCTGATAAAATTTGAATGTTTCTAAAGTCAAACCCAGCATTCTATATATATATATTATATTTATGCACAATGCTAATCTCATTTTAAAATTAATATTTTACATTTTTTATAACACTATGTCCCTTCAGGATCTAGGCGATCATGTCTCTTCACAGATTTTTCCCGATTTAAGTTTGGAATTAAATTTTCTTTCTCTTAGATTGGTAAAGTGGTACCCCCTGTTAGGGGTCCCAGCTATGGGAAAAGAGTGAACCTCCAGGCAAAAATCAGCAGTATATTAAGATAATAAAATGAGCAATAATACATTTTTAACAAAATGACAATCAATGCAACATTAAAAAAAATATGAAAATACATTTTTATAGTAAAATTTCCAACAATATATTTTATGATCTACAAATTATATATATCTAAAAACTTACCTTCACTCTGATAGTATAAGAATACATACAAAATATCTGTTGTTGAAAGCATAAAAAATTACGTAAAAAATATTTAGATTTTAGCATGACATAATCCATATATGCGTTGATATGCCGTTATACATAATCAACCAACCAGCTTAGATTAATTGCCACCAACACTCGACCGCTTTGTTTACCTTAGATTTAACCCAGAGCTGGCTGGAAAATGAACGGGTGAACTCCCTTACCAGTAGCATTTGTGTAAAGGAGGACGTGACTAGCCACTCTTAATAAAATAATATATGCAGATGACCCAGTGTTGATAGTAAACACAGAAAAGAAACTACAGGAAATCCTACAAAAAGTAATCAAAGGAAGCGAGAAGAAAGGTCTAAACATCAATTATAAGAGTGTATAGTTGTTAGCACAACGGACAGTCTAACATGTAAATCAATAAATTGGAGACACCAGAATCAAGCAAGCACAAAAATGTAAATATCTGAGAGATGTTCTAAAAATGCGATACCGATATCCGAAGACGCATTGGGATAATGAATTATGCTTTTCAAATGATAAGCAAAGTATTAAGAAACAGGAACATTTCGTTAGAAATAAAGGAAAGACTACTGATCTGTTACATATTATCAGTCCTCTCTGGCATTGAATGCTGGACAGTGTACTCACAGATGTAGAACAGACTTGAAGGAACAGAAATGTGGTTCTACAGAAGGATACATGTGAGCATCAAGGACAGTTTAAGGAAAATTAAAACAAAATGGATGCTTAATGTTATAATCTGAAAGAAACATTTCTAAGACACATAGTGTGGAAAGAGAGCTTGGACAATTTTGACATTCAGAGGTAAAAGGTGATACAGAGGAAATCAGCGAGTAACTTATCTCTTCTTCTTCTTTCAGGACGTTGACAATCAAGACCCTCCACAGATTCCTGTCCTTTGTAAGCCTTAGTAAATTTTGTCTTTTTGCCAGCTATCCTAAATCATGTTCTGCAATCTATTTACACAAGCTCTTTAAATAGGTTATACCCTCTTTTCTTCTGTCCCTATTTCCCTCAATAAACCCTGTGAGTATCAATTTCCCAAGCCTGTTTTCCTTTCTAGGTGCCCTAGAAAAATAAGTGTCCTTTTTGTTTCCATTTTCTCTAAAGATTTGTCGTGGTATTCTCAGAATCTCTAGAACCACATTTCTGTTGCTTGCTATCTCTTCATTCACTTCCATATAGAAGGACATATTTTACATAATAGTTTAGTACACTTTGTTTCTAACGGAACTTTCCAGTTTCTTCATATGTTGCTTAACTTTTGGAAAGCATCTTTCACTGTCCCAATGCGTCTTCGGATTTCGATGACGTAGAACGCCCAAGAACCATTGTATGGATCTGGGAAGGATCTTGGTGGAAGAAGCGATTCGTGAGAATAAGTTGCTCGTGGGGAACTTGTTTCTCGCTAATGGAATACGAAGAGAATGAAGGTGGTTCACTACAATGTACGTAGGATGGCGAGTCTAAGCCATGAAGGCTAGAACTGGTACAACTAAGCAATTTGTTTTGTTTGAAGACTTTTCCATGGAAATAGCATTAGAGCAGCGAATGACGCGCTACACTTCATCTAAGGGGTTATAGGGTGGA